GACATATACGTCGCATATTATTCGCAGAATTGGTGCATTTAATTACTCGAAATATTTCCGCATATATGTCGCATATTATACAACTCGCTTTTTTTTTTAAGTTCTGTCAGTGATTTAATAATAAATTGAAGAAGACTACTATTAGGCGAAAGAACCTGCGATTATTACTCGAAACATTTCCGCATAAAAAACGCATAACTCGAACTATAACGAATAACATATTTTTTTATATTTATTTTTGTAAATTTTATATTCCCCAACGTAAAGAATTGCGACATACAAACATCCCATATTTTCTGAATAGTTGGTAAATTTTGGAAAATGTCTTTAACTAAATTAATAATGAATTGAAAAAAACTATTTGGTGAAAAAAAGCTGTGCGTAACACTTTTCGAAATGTGTTCGCATATTGATACATTTATGCGAGGTTTTATATGGATATGCGATTCTTAAATATGTGATAACAATATGCATAATCGATAGTTATCTACTATCTACCCTTATAGATTTGGACATGCGAATCTTAAATTATGCGAACATATGCCGCATAATCCTAAATGATGCGAATCTTAACTTATGCGAACAATATGCGAAGCATTTTCGATTTGGATATGCGGTGCAGCCAATCAATCAATGTGGTGCGTAACGTATGCGAATAATATGCGAAGCTCTTTTGATTTTGATATGCGGTGCAGACAATCAATCAATGCGGTCCATATGGATATGCGAAAAAAATGGCGGATAGTCGTAAATTATGCGGCTTTCGATTTGGATATACGATTCGTTAATTATACGATTGAAGACTAGGCAAATCATCCCAGTTGTGCGATTATTATGGGATATGATATGGGAATCGCGCAATCAACCCAATTGTGCGATTATTATGGGACATGTTATGCGAATCGCTCAATCAACCCAGTTTCACTAATTTTTGTTAGTCAATCGTGTGCAGGTCACAACTTAGGGCACCAACACAATATTTTTCCCGTTAAAAGTATTGTTTTCGTTAAATTGGTTTACAATTAAAAACTTCATCTTCATCTTAATTGTCATGGATTGGACGTGATGGACAAGATGACGATTTGTGACCTGTTTCTTTACATGTACGACATCTCCTCGGGCGTCTTGGATGAGGAGTTGGTGCGTTTTTACTTTCTTCATTTGAAAAAAATGTCATTATCACCATCGTATAGAGGGCACTTCGCCCTGTTATGCCCGGTGACCCCGCACCGTGAGCACATCTGCTGACGCCGTACTCGACGTGATGATCCTTCTCCAGCGGAATAACGTTGAGTCCGTGGCCGACCTGCTTGTTTGGGATCATTTGGCGGAATTACCTTTTTACGCATAATTTTCGGGGGCAAGTGTCATTCATCTGGATGCGGGACGGGGCTAACGGTGCTTTCGTACATCCTTGCAACTGAGTAGGTTTTGTAATGGTCATTAACGAAATCCATTATATCTAACCCGGCTTCCCTGTTACATATCGTAAATGCACATCATATTGATAGTAAATTATTTTTTTTTTAAAGAAAAAAGCGATAATGTTGTTTGGTAAACATTACCGAATAGCCGTAGATGTATGTAAGCAAGGTAGTAGATCTGTTTCAAACACACGACAATCACATGTTCTTGCCTCTAAATCTACCACGTAGGATCGTGTTTCTTCCATAACCCTATAACGTTGCATGCCGAGTGTGGTAATGGATAGAGTACGACCTTTCTCGAACAAAGGATCCAACCGCAATTGAGTCCACTTCGTTAGCGGATGATTGCGACCCTCGGCGGATGCACGCCGAACAACAAACCATTTCTCTATCGTTGCTCGAACACACTCCAACAACGAGCAAACGGGTAACATCCTGGCCCAACGGAGTTTGTTGTTCAAACTTTCGCATGAATTGGATGTCATGAATCCATAGCGCCGTACAGGTGTAAAACACCTCGCCCAAGCATTTACCAGAATTTCATTAGTTAGCTTTTTAAATGCTTCGGGTTTTAGGCTTTGGATGGATGACAAGTAACGATAGAAGTTTTCACGCCGATAACAATATGTCGCCTTGTAAAATATGCCCAAGACAGATTTCCCAAAAGGCCTCATTTGTTTTGTGATGTGATAATAGAAAAATGAATGATGCGCCTCGGGGAACACTATTGGGACAGAATATATGATAGACTCATGTCTATCCGAGACGATGAGGAGGTTATCAGGACAACCATAGACCCTTCTCAATTGAGTCAAAAACCAACTCCAAGTCTCACGACGCTCTACATCACCAATGCCAACTGCGAGGGGAAAGATTTGGTGATTCCCGTCCAATGTGGCTGCAACAAACATAATGCCCTTGTATTTTCCTTTCAAGTGGGTACCATCTATCACAATTACCGGGACACCAGCTCGTTGAAAGCCCTCAATGCTAGCTCCTAGAGCAAAGAACAAGTGTTGGAATACCTCGCCATCTCGTTGCAGTTCGACAATTGTACCTGGATTACGAACCTGCAACATGTGCAAGTAACCGAGAAGCCGCCCCCATGATTCTTCATGACCTCCATAAACTTTTTCAAAAGCACGGTGTCTTGCTCGGAGGGACACATTGTAGCTGATCGACAAACCATGCTCCTCCCGCATTTGTTCAATAATTCTCCGTGTAGATACCGTCTGGGGATTTGTCTGAATAGTTGATGCGTAAATATGAGCGAGAACCTTGGAATTAGCCGAACGGTGTCGATTGTGCGTCAAACTCCCTTCGAATGTATGCTGAGTTTCAAAGTAGTGATTCTCCATACATCTCGGTTTGCCCTTGCACATAACTTGTAAGAACACCCTTCATACCGACGAACAGATTTTAACCTAGAAGTGCAGGATTTGGGTGTTCGACACTCAACTTTTTGTTGCAAGTGATACAGTTGAATGGCACAAATCAACTCTTCTTTCGAAAGAAAGACAGACCCCAAAGATAATTCTATATTGTTCGAGGGTAAGTGGATGGGTTGTCTATCTGATCCCGTTGTCGTAGGCGGCATAGGAAGGGACCACATTCGTGGCTCAACGTCGGATTGACGGGTGCTACCTCGATTCATATATGCAAGACTTTCAACCTCAATATGGTCGGTGATTAATCTTAGCTCTTCAATATGCTCGCTATACCACGCCCTAAAAAGCTTGAACATTTGCTTCTCATGTACCTCTTTGTCTTCGTCGCCTGAGTCACCATTGTGCGTGTTGGTTTGGTCATCATTATTGTCATTGTCACGAGAATGACCTGGTTGGTTCGAACAACCCGCGGTTTGATCATCAGCGCCCCGAGGATATCCAGTATGTGTAAATGAACTAGGGCCTGCTTGATGTGAATATGGGGCCTCGTGGGAAAATGCAGAACTACCAACTCCAAAAGAACTCGGAAATACACCTTGGGACGCCATCATTTGCGTGAAGCTTTGTTGCGCCGTCCCCGGAACACCTACATTTACTCGCTTCTCCAACTCCATGTAATGTTGGGAGTTTTTTGTTCTTCAATCAGCTCTAAGATATCCTCACTGGATTCAATTTTCATCTTCACTTTTCGTTCCCTTCCATCAAATACTGCCCACAATAAGTACTCAAAATTACAAGGATCAGCCTTCAATAATGCTTGAACACGAGAAACTACTTCAGAATACATTTGTCGGCCGTAATTTATTCTCATCAGCTCTTCCACTCCACCAAGATATGAACCCCCGGAAAACGTACCACCATAGCTCACGCATACTCTAACACGGGTGCTAGCCATTCAAATAAGTGAACAACAAAAGGAATTAAAACGAAAGAAACAGAAAATTGCAGTAGAGAAGAATGGTGCAGACGTTGAATTGTTAGAGATCACTGTTTTTTTGCCTGCATGATAAATGCACAGACAAAATCCTCACCTGTGAAAAAGCAGTCAATTAATGAGGTGCGTAACTTATGCGACAGATATGCGATCAAATTCTGAATAGTCGTAAAATTTCCATGACATATTTACAGCAGGGCATAATCGTAAATTCATAGATAAAGGAAGGGTATAATGGTAAATTGAATAAAAAAGTAACGCTGTCAGGGGATTTGTAACGACGTTAACATAACAGGACGAGTGTGCATGTAAACATTAAATACAAGGGGGGATTTGTAACGACGTTAACATAACAGGACGAGTGTGCATGTAAACATTAAATACAAGGGGATTTAACGCAATTTTTAAAATACGAGGAGAAAACACGCAGATTTCATATAATACAGGGGGTTTGGTGCAATAAACCCAAAAGTATTTTTTTCTGTTTTGATGGAAGAGCTATCCACTGAGAATGCGCAAAGAAAGTACTATCCTTTACCATCAAACTTTATATTATTTATTTATTTTTATATATCTGATGTTTTTATTTTACTTACAACTAATCTTTACAGTTTATTTTTGGTTATGTTTGGCTTATTTTTACCATTAATATTTAAATTGCATTACCTTTTGATTTATGGAGTGTTGTACTTTTGCAAAAGCTTCCAAAAGTTAAGCAAACATGCAAAATAGTTTCAGTATGAAATTAATAAGGACACCAACCATGTAAACAAGAAAAATAGGATGGCTATGAAATTAATTTTTAGGAACTATAGCTGTAATATACAACTTATTACACGAGCATGATCCTGTCTTTATTATTATAAATTAATTTATTTTTTATTTTTAAATAAATAAAGGATCTCTATGGATACAATAGTTTTAGCTCAATTTTACAGTAATAATGGGTTCAAGCAGGCGTATAAAGGCAAGTGAAGCAACTGACTTCTAATGTGACAACAAAGGGCAGAGGCACAAAAATGATAATCGATCCCTTTTATTTTCACTGTGTATATATATACATTTTACATTGTTTTCAAGTATATATTAGAAATTTTGACAGGGAAAGTAGCCTTACTAGGAGTAAATGGAACATGATAGAAATCATCCCCAGGAAAGGACTATTGCCCACAGTAACTTTCGGACCAAACCTCACTGATAGATATTTCGTCTCCTCCTTTGGTTTGGAGAAATGTTAATCCTCTGGTCCCTCAGCATGTTCAAATTGGGAGCCAACAGCCGTGTGTATCGGTCGAAATAAAGTAGTTGCTTCATGAGGAGTGCAAACTCCCGAGGGAATCTCAAACCGTATGATTCACTAACACGAACCTATTTATCAAAGAAAGAATCGAACAGATATTAAGCATGTGCAATTATAGATACTTACGTTAGTCCAATCATAAATAACAAAACTGACCCACAACTCCGAAGGTTTAAAATTATAATTACCGACATACTCGGTTATCTTACAGAACAATGAAATACTCCCTAAAATGTTACAAAATACCTCTTGGTACGTAAATAATATTTCAGCAGGAGCAAATTAAAGTAAAAGCCAAGAGATACTGTTTCTATTTCATTTATTTTTATTTTTATTTTCTTAATAAAGAATTACAAATTAGGTGATGGTATTCAAAATTATCCCGTCTCTAAAATGCTAACAGAAGTAAAAGCTCGCATATGGGAAAGTCTTACCACATCTAGAAATAGTACATTCATTTGTCTCTCATCAAAAACAACATTTGCAGCAACTGCAGTTGAATTTGTATTAGGTTCCCTTGCCGTAGCAACAACTATTTCGGTATCAAGATCCTGCGCCAATATTACGATGTATTGATTTTATAAATACATGAATAAAATAACGAGTCAATTTATCCTGTGCAGCCTGCTATATCTATGTAGCTTATAGGAAATTACCACCACTTTTTTTTTTTTTTTTTTTTTTCTTCTGGAACATGATAGATTTCTCCGACATGATTCTCGGAGAGCAGCAATTTACTAAATTTTCCCAGCGACTCAATGAGACAGTTGAAAATTTCAAGGAATAAAGAAAAGAAACCCAATTTCAAGGAATAAAGGAAAGATACCTATAAGCCATATTAATGCCGTGTGCACCCCACTATATCTCGGCAGCTTGTCTAAATTTACCACCACATTTTTATTTTCTTTCGGAGCATGATAGATTTCTCAGTGATGAATTTCCGAAAGCAGCAAATCACTAAATTTTCCGAGTGAGATAGTTAAACATTTCATGGGGTAAGGAAAGAAACCTACAGAGTCCAGTTATGAGCTTCGTAGTTCGAACAATTAAAAAGTTACTACCAAGTTGCCAACTGTATCACCTACTGAATAATTTTGAGAACTGCTGATAACGGGTTTTCGTGAAATGATTACTTTTGCAAGTCCTAATGCATAAACTTAAAAGACTATTTAATTTGAAAACTATTACTTGGAGAACAAGATGTTCTCTGTCCTTCAATCAAAGAAACACAGCGCAAGCAACAAATGACATGCCTGAATTGAGGAGAATATCTTTTCAAGATCCCTTGCAAAGGCCTGAGAGTCTATATTTTGATTTGTAGCACCCATATCGATCAAGGAAGAAGCCATCGACTCGTATTCTTCAGTTGCGAGTGATTGCAGAAATACTTCCATAGCACTCCATGTTTTTGGCGAAATTCTCCCCACAATTCCTGTATAGCAATTCATATCTCACTAGTCACATACTTTTTATTTCATAGCAGTTAATTGTGATTCAACTGAAAAGTTACACCGGCTGTGATTCCATGGCAGTTAGTGGCAATTCAACTGAAAAGTTACATAGACTGGGACTCCATAAATTTCCCGAGGGTGTAAACTAAGATTATCGATGAAATTAGAAATCCACTTTCAAGTAATATTAATATCACAAAAGATGAACTCGCTGAAAATGTAGTTTCCATTAACTTTTTTTCATGGCAGCAGGAGGTGGACCACATCAGCAGAAAAAAAGTAGCATATCAAAGAGGTAAGAAGATAACAAAATAAATAAATGATGATGGACGACAGAAAATAAATAAACGATGCTTATGGCTGCATAAATGAGATACATACCGAAGTCGAGGAACCCAATGCGACCATCACGGAGCAACCACAGATTGCCAGCATGTACATCTGCATGGAAGGTTTCACAAGCAAGCAGACTACCAAACCTACATAATATTTAACTGTACATTAATATATATATGTGTCTGTGTGTGTGTGTGTGTGTGTGTGTGTGTAATAGCAGATAGTTTATTCACCAAACAAAAAAAAAAATTCTACTATGAAGTCTATATTGTAAATGTCATTCTTACCAGACATTTAAGGCAGTTATAAGACTATTCTCCGGATTTGGAACAAGCGAGTTGATGGAGTTCAAGTCCGTGAGAGGGACACCATAAAGCCTTTCCATTGTAAGAATCCGTCTGCTACTGTACTCTTGATACACTTTTGGTGCCATAGCTTGCCTTGTGAGTCCCATTGCATCCAAATATCTCCTGAAGGCCTCAACATTTGTAGCCTCTTTCTTAAAGTCAACTTCTTCAAGCATCGACTCTCTTATATCTTTGATTATAGCAACCTAACATTGCGAATTCTGTATTAAAAAGAAACATATACTCCAACAAAATCAGATATATCAGCAAAGTGAACAAAGAAAAACCCCAAAAAAAAAAAAAAAAAA